ACATGCCATGTGTCGACAGGAACCCAAGGTTCAAGGCCTTGGGCCACTGAACAAACGAACGGTGCCAAACTCCCAAGCATGGAGCCAAGGAGTGATGGAACCGAACCACGGAGCAACTCCCGAGCATACAGCCCAAAGAGCAAAGGGACAGGGGCCCGGAGCGACTTGGAACAGTCTTGGAGCAACCAGCATCCCAATGCCAAGACCAGCACGCAAAACGGAGCCAAACGGAGTCTGGTGCTATTTCAGCATACCGGTGATCTAACGTGAGGATATGGGTACTCCACCAGCTAGCATGGAATGGAACTTGGGCTTAGACCCAAGCCGGACGTAGAACAAGGACAGGCACGCAAGCAAGAGCTAGACTATGCCTTAGGTTGGTCGGCCATGCCCGACCTACCCACTATCCCTACTATACATTTGGAACCCCCCACAGCCCCCCCCCCCCCCCCTTGAGGAACACACGCTTTGGGCTTTCACCCCAAGCCTCCCTTAGTATCAGGAGTTAGTCTCTGGGACAAGCTTGAAACTTACTAAATATGGAATGTCCTTAGAATGCGAATTTGGACACGGGACGAACACCATTGTGTTCAGGCCGATCTCTACATTCTGTAGATATGCCAAATGAGCAAATCTAGACACTTTCCATAAATAGCATTTGGGACCAAAATGAGACTAACACAAAGGGCATGATAGCGAGGGTGTTTGGCAGACACGGTAAGCTATCATCTAGCGATATTGAGGGACCAAGCTCAATATCGCGGGGGTTCCCAACACTAGCAAGTGCAAACCAACATCATGAGTTTCTCATCACCGTGTCAAGTCTGCTTGACTAAATGACAACTTAGGATTTCCTTCCTTAGTGCCCTTCCGGTCTAAGTGCACATGTGATGACCAGTTTCTCAACTAGCTTAGGCAGAGACTGATAACGAGCCCAGCAATACCGACCTCCTGCCATCGTGGCAGTAAGAAAGAATATCCGAAAGGACTAGCCGACAGGTAACTTTCGATACCTGAAGTCATATTCGCGACATCTAAAGCTTTAAAACCTATTGAATAATATAACTAACTAAATTCTTTTTTTTCAATAATGAAGTAAGTATAGTATGATCTCTTTTTAGTAATGTCTAAGAACTATATAGGTATGCATGAAGTTTCTTGAAACCCTAAACTACTGCTAAACACTCCTTCTCTATCATGGAGTAATTTATCTCCGTTAGTTATAATGTATGGTTGATATATACAATGGGATAACACTAATCAAACACACTTAAGCTCTCTTGCATCAACACAACTCCAAGACCAATATTAAAAGCATTCACGTGTAAAATGAAAAGTCAAGTGTAGTCAGGATATGCCAAAACTGGAAGAGTTATCAATAGCTCTTTAAGATCTGTCAATGCCCAATCACAATCCACAGACCAAATAAAAGATGATGTTGACAACTTCAACAACAATTGCAAAGGTGCAATGTGATTAGAAAAATAATCAACAAAATGACTAAGATATTGCACCTTGCCCAAGAAGCATTGCACATCATTCACACACTTTTAAGTAGGGAACTTTAGAATAGCCATAAGTTTATCAGGATCAATTTGTAATCCCTTATGAGAACTACAATACCCAAGATAACTCTTATCGTTGGACTCAATCACATATTTTGACTACTTTAACTTTAAATCAACTTCTTGTAACCAATCTAACACTTTACAAACATCATGGATGTGTTCCTCCCACATCTTGTCCAAGTGGATCAAGACTATGCTTACTGGCAAACAGCCAAATGAACTAAACGGACGTAAACATGTTCAAACATGAAGACTTTTGATACGAAAAGAGATACTAGTTTGTATAATTCAAGCATAAAGAAAAAGAAACCCTAAATATATGTAAAAGAAATAAATTTGAAACACTAAAACTTGATATTTAAATTTCAAACACACGAACGGTAGCTTGGTGAGCCATTGCATTAGCAATTGCCTCCCGCATGCGGAAAGAAATGTAAAAGATTGTAAAAAATTCTGGTTTAACTTGGAATATTCATTTAACTTGGCAACCCTTTGCAAATGGAATGTGAATGCATATGCAAATGCCTATTTACGAATGAGGTTTTTACAAATTAAATGTGTTTTCTAGTAAGTATGATCAAGATATCATTGATGAAGTTAGCAGTCACTTCTAACATGTCGTAAAGAACCTCGTCCATTATTCATTAGAAAGGTGCTAAAGCATTGTTCAAACTAAATGGCATCACCAAGAACTTGTACAAACCAAATGGTGTACAAAAAGCAATCTTATGAATATCTTCCTCTATTATTGACACTTACTAATATTTAGAAACAAGATTTAACTTGGTGAACCAATGACTTCTCTCTAGAGAATCCAAGAGATCAGAAATATGAGGAAGAAGGTACACATTTAGGATCATCATTTCATTTAACGGATGAAAGTTGATGTAAAAATGAATACTCCTATTAGGCTTCATCACAAAATGAGGTTCACATGCCTATACATCTCGCAACTTGCAAATAACACCCTTTTTCAACATCTTTTTTACATTTGTATATAAAATCTTGAGTTTTTTGGTAACCAACGATGAATAGAAACTTTGATTGGACAAGCATCCCCAGTTGGAATAGAATGGCATATTGCAATCTTGGCCCCAAATGATAGGTCAAATTCAAAATGATCAACATACTCCATAAGCCAATTAACTGTTGCAATACAAAGACTATCAGAAGGATCAAAAGAGGGAATAAAAGAATAAGATAGAAATATAGGAAGAAGTAATGGAGAAATTAAAGTGATGGAAACAAAGGTAAAAGTAAAAGGACAAAGAGGAACAAAAGTGAAAAGAATGAAAAAAATATAAAAAAGTATAAAACAAGGGGAAGAAGCCTCAAAGTTATATTTAACATGATTGAGCTACAATCAATTTATATCAAGGATGAGGTTAAAAGCTTGATTTGGCACCAATGACTGTAGCTTAAGTTCTAGATTGCCCACAAGCACAACTAGGTTCACGTCACCCCATGCATATACATGTGTATAGCTGTTGCCATATATAATAAAAACTGGCTTTGCCACATGACACAAATGTAGACAGCAAGATATGACAACAAGCTGAGTAATAAAAGATAAACTCAAGCCTGTATCAACCAATATAGAGAGAAAAATAAAAAACCTTTTATTATAAAAACAAATTTAAAAAGTAAATACCATATAAACTAGTGCCAAGTGAACCCCTTGATAATACTCCCGAAAAAGATGGAACGGTCACTAATTTATTCTCGCAAGGACTATCCATTATTCGTGTGACTCCTTGTTTCCTGAAAGCATTTTAGTGTTTAGACCTTCTACTCTAGCAGCACCAATAGAATGTTGTTGACGCCAAGGTCTTCACCCAGAAAATGGAGGTCACCAATTTAGAAAATGCCAACAATGCAGATAAGTGTGACTAACTTCATCACAGGACCACCTCTCATAAAAAGTCGAGATAAAGGATATATAACGAGAAGTGAAAGAGGCAACATCTCATAATGTTATATTAATCGAAGAGCATCATTAAGGGTGGTTGGAGTAAATGCATGCATAAATCCTACAAAATCTTAATAAAGTGTTAGCCATAATATTCCAACTTGATCTATTCTGACATATTAAGTTCCACACAAAGCAAAAGGCTTCGGAAACGAATACTAAATTGCATCACAAACTCAAATGACCCTTAATAAAGATGATGCAATTGTTGAAAAGCATTATCACAATTGTTACTATATCCAAATATACATTTGAAAATATTTGGGAGAACGCTTCAATCCTCATGAGTCGCTGCACTTAAACCATTATACCATTATAGTGTTGTTCTTTAGAGACATGTGGGAAATTCACCCAAATGCCAAATATCATCCCAAGATTGATATATGGCAATCACTATGAAGTGATCGAACCAATGGTATATATTATCCCTAGGATTCCCACTAAAGAACTCTAGCCGAACTCAAAGATTAGCAATAAAAGTAGGAGGAGCTGTACCATATGGCATGAATGCCACCATCAATTGAGTTTGATTGTTCAATTGCAATTGTATAGCATTAAACAATTACATCAACTATTATTCTAGAGTCAAAGGAAGAGGAGGTTATGACTCTACTATGAAGATGAACAAAAGTAAAAAAACTAAAAGAGAAGAAGAAAAAAAGCTATAAGAAAAGGGAGATTTAGATAATGCAAAAAGGTAGATTTAAACTAAAATCCGAAATCTTAACACTTCTCAAGGATGATCAATATTGCCCCTCATCTCCACTAATATGAATGTATGGAATATGGAAATGAAATACAAAAATGTGCATATCAATTTGCTCAAAAACTTTAGATTATATACAAAAGTGAGAGGTCCGAATTGAAATTATGACAGCTACCAAAATCCCATTATTCTAATATTAGTATATGGCATCGTAGTTGTACACTTAGACCTCACATTGGAATATTTTAGAAATGATTAGAATTATATGTTATATTTATTTTAAAAACCTTTATCTCAAATATTTTTGCTCTTAACAGTATACATTATTTAACATGCAAATCACTTTTAATAGTACCAATTAAACATTATAATTCTATATTTGGTTGATGCTTAACACTAACTAACATACTAGCATATTCATTTATAAGATCCATTTACCATTTACAAACATAATTTCAAGCAAAGAAAAACTGATGGCATAAAAATTTCAATGCTGCTACGGCACACCATGGCACCCTAGTGCCTAGATAAAGTAGACGTTGAAAGCTTTAATCTATCCACACCCTTGCTTCAAGCGAAAATTGCTCACAGCTGCAGGCCTCATAACCTTTATAAAGAGTAATGTACTGTGAATCTATGGGTGGTGTTTTGTATTTTCCTTCGGTCTTCGAATGGACGGCTGCGTGGCGCCAGATGGACAGAACAGCCTCCACGTCATTGGTACATATTGCTTTTCTTCCTTTTGTAAAATCATTTTTCTCGTGCGAGCCGGAGAGTCCATAGCGAGCGTTTCCACGTATCGTTCTCACCCTAGTCTAGGTCTTCTCTTTCTCGCGGAGCTTTTGGCGCTCGCCAAGCGGCGCCGCGGGGCGAGGGTATCGTGATTCGCAGCAAGAATGCGCCTCTAGCGAGCAGCCGGCGATCGATCGATCGATTTCGGGTCCGGCCGGGCGCGGGAGAAGCGATTATGGTGATGCGCAAGGTCGGCAAGTATGAGATCGGTCGGACGATCGGCGAAGGTACGTTTGCCAAGGTGAAATTCGCGCAGAACACCGAGACGGGCGAGAGCGTGGCCATGAAAGTCCTCAACAAGGAGACGATCCTCAAGCACAAGATGGTCGATCAGGTGTGTGCCTCACGAGAAATCCCAAGAACGTGAGTGGTTTTTCTTGCTAGAGAATGTAGGTAGCCTTGTTTTTAGTTCGTCCTCTTTTTTGTTCTGTTACTTGTGGCCATGTTCTTCACAGCTAAGATTTCCCAAATTTTTGGCTGCTCTGCAGATTAAAAGAGAGATTTCCATCATGAAACTCGTACGACACCCCAATGTTGTGCGGCTTCACGAGGTAGAACTTAGTGATTTTTTTTTCCTCCGTAATCCACTAGGTTCTTTTCCAGGTGCTTGCCAGTCGAACGAAAATCTACATCATCCTAGAGTTTGTAACCGGTGGAGAGTTGTTTGACAAAATTGTAAGTTCTAGATTATGAATACGGCATTGAATTTTTTTTGTTTGTCACATCCAGGTCGATCAAGGGCGGCTCACTGAGATCGAATCACGCAAGTATTTTCAGCAGCTGATTGATGCCGTCGACTACTGTCACAGCAAAGGTGTTTATCATCGCGATTTGAAGGCAAGTTTATCAACTCGTGCTTTTCTAGTTTTTGACTTTACGCTGGTTCTTTTCTTTTCTTTTATTTTCTTTTTCTGTCACAGCCTGAGAATCTCTTGCTTGATTCACAAGGGAATTTGAAAATATCAGATTTTGGTTTGAGTGCTTTGCCACAACAGGTAAACACGTTTTCTTCCTCGTCAATTATATGCTCATGGTTTTAGACCTTCAGGAAGATGGGCTTCTTCATACAACTTGTGGAACTCCAAACTATGTTGCTCCAGAGGTCACATATATACATCAGAGCTGGGTAGCTTGTTAACTCATTTTCATACCTGCAGGTCCTTGATAACAATGGCTATGATGGAGCAGCAGCTGATATATGGTCGTGCGGTGTTATTCTGTACGTCCTGATGGCTGGTTTTTTACCTTTTGACGAAGTGGATCTTGTCACGCTCTATCGGAAGGTAGCTGTTTCCAACTAAGAATACTTCCCCTTGACGCTTGTCTGTCTTTTACGTGCTACAGATTCATGAAGCAGAGTTCCTTTGTCCATCGTGGTTTTCACCTGGTGCGAGGTCCTTGATCTCAAGAATCCTCGATCCTAATCCTCAGACAGTACTGTCTTACTCATCTTTTAAGTTGCTGAGTCTACTCAGCCGCTAAGTTTCAGTCGTCTGGGTCTAAGCAGTTATTTAATCAAATGCTGATGGTTCTGAACTCTTGCAGCGGATTCAAATGTTTGGCATCCGAAAGGATGATTGGTTCAAGAGGAACTACGTACCTGTGAGGCTCGCAGATGATGAAGACGGGACTTTGGACGACATTGAAGCAGTTTTTGATGACTCTGAAGTAAGTCTTGTCTTAGACTAGTACAATACTACAGCATCGTCTTTTCAATTCTTTTGTTTTCCAGGACCAATTTGTGAAGGAACAGAGAGACATTAACGAAGGTCCTTCGATGATGAATGCCTTCGAGCTTATTACTCTTTCACAAGGCCTCAACCTGTCTGCTCTTTTCGACAGAAGACAAGTGCGTAGTGCATTACATCCAAATTGTTCTCAACTCTGGCTCTTACTGTTTGCAGGACCTTGTCAAGCGTCAAACAAGATTCATCTCTAAATGCCCGGCCAAAGAGTTGCTAGCGAGAATGGAGGATACGGCGAAATCCATGGGCTACAAAGTGTATAAGCGTGGGTACAAGGTGCTGTGATCTCTGCTAACACGTTTTGGACGAGCATCTAACTTTCCCTGACTTCGTCTCTTAGATGAGATTTGAGGGGCTTACTGCGGGTAGAACGGGGCAACTTGCAGTGGCGGTCGAGGTAAAATTCTCATTAACCACCTTTTGTCCGCTCACCAGGACTTTCTGTGAACAGGTTTTTGAAGTCGCCCCATCACTGTATATGGTCGAAGTCCGAAAAGCTGTGGGTGATACTCTGGAGTATCACAAGGTAAAGAAATTCTTCTCTCTTTTTTTCATCTTGCAAAGACACGGAATTGGCATTTGCTTTGGTGGCAGTTTTACAAATCGTTTTGTACAAATTTACGCGATACAATCTGGAAATCCGCTGGTGATGCCAACGAGCAATCTTCGCAGTTGCTGAGAGGAGCCAGTTCCGGAGTTTTAAACCAGATATAAAGAGTTTGTAGTGAAGGTGAATGGTGCTGGTCTGTATAACTTCTTTTTCTTTCTGTCGTTATATATACGGCTGAGATTCTAGCAGATTGCGCGGGTGAGATTGGCGCTGATGTGGCGCTTATCCAGACGAGAGAAAGGTGTCGCTGGCCAGTGTGCGCTTGCCACGCGTCGGGGCCAATCTCTCTGGAAGAAGTTCTACTCTCCAAAGTTTTTTGAGTTTGTCGCAGAACTATAGTGCCATGGCCGCTGCTACTACCAGTGCTGCTGCCACATTGTCCACTCCAGTCGCTGGCCTAGGTGGATCTTCACTCAAAGCAGTGAAGAGATCTTCATCCTCGAGAGTTCATCTTACTTCAGGTACTGCTCGTCTCTTGAGTTGTAAGCACTGAGCTTTTCTTTGATGTGTAGCATTCGTCCACAATGCCAATGCCTCCGCGAATGCTCTTCGACTGAAGCCCTGCATGTCTCGTGTTACATGGTAAGAAGTTTGTGATTTCTCGTAGAACACTTATCCTCTTCCTTGGGACAGCTTTCGTGGAGACTGGTTGCGTACCGATCTCTCAGTGATTGGATTTGGATTGATCGGGTGGCTAGCACCATCGAGCATCCCTGCCATCAACGGCGATAGCCTGACTGGCCTGTTTTTCGGTAGCATTGGTCCCGAGCTTGCTCACTGGCCTACAGGCCCAGCTCTAACCTCGCCATTCTGGTAAGTAAAGAACTTTTTCTTTTCTCCTTTTTTCCTTTGTTGCGCAAATGTATGAATTTGCTTCGTTTGCTTACCCAGGTTGTGGATGATCTTGTGGCATCTGGGACTATTCATCACGCTCACTTTCGGCCAGATTGGATTCAAGGGAAGAGCCGATGGCTACTGGTAAGAACTTTTGTGTGTTTCATAGCAGCATACCAGGCAGCCTGTACGAAAAAACCTCAAAGAACGCAAAGCTGGTGAATGATTCAAGCTTTTGTATAGAAGCGCTCTGGGTTGGTTTCCTTTGCATTTTCCATGGTTAGCGCTTGCTTTTTGGCTTGGAGCAGCGAGGCTTGCATGAGTAGAAAGCATTTCTCGTGCTTCCATTATTTATAATTTAGACATTACTTTTGAAACACCAGAACAAGCAAAAACCATACAAGATAAATTTCTTATCAAATTCACTAGCTTTCCTTCTGGTTCAAACTTCAATTTAGACAAGGAGTCTGGTCTTCAAGAAGATAAGTCGAAGTTTCAAAGATCGTTTTAGACCCCAGCTTGTTGACCAAAGATCGAAGTTCCGTAGGAATTTTCCTTTCCACCATTTATTGACTTAAGGTTGGTTACTTTTTTATTGGTTGCTTGGACCTCTCTGCAGCTTTGAAATTCAGACAAAGTTCAGTGACCAAACCAAGGAAAAAAAGAAGGCTGATTGTTTTCCTGGGTTTTACTTTTTCTCGTTTGTATCTTTGAAACTTCGGAACTGTAGAAACCTACAAAAGAAAATTAAAAAGAAAAGATTTCTTCGATGCTGAACACATTTTCTCTCTCTCTCTCTCTCTTTTCATAACTTACATAAAAGCGCCTCCCCAAATCCACAGGAAGCTCGCCTCCCCATAATTCAACCCCGTACAAAGACCGAGTACTGAAGCTCGTGTAAAGTATGATACTCTTCCCGGGGAACAGGGGCCATTGTTTTGCTCTACTTTTTTTTCTTTTTTTCCAATCCACTCTTTTTTTTTCTCGGTGTTTTGATCTTTACAGGGGGCGCCAGGGAGCACAGAGAGCAGCATTTTTTCTGTGCAAGCTACCAACTTGGGGTCCAGAAAAAAGAAGAAAAAAGAGCTCCAGTCTAACGGATCACCACCTGGAAAAGCTATGGCGCCAGAGATTGTAGAGACTGCGAACTTACTAAAACCTTTTCTCTCTTCTTTCCTTCTCCGGCTTTTCAGAACCTGTTGACACTGTCTCGATGGGCGTGGTAGAAGGAATGAGGACGTTCTTGAGGGAAATCCTCTCCAGCGCCGTCAATCTCCAGCTCCGTCTCCTCCCAATCGTCCCATCCCATCCATTCTTGCTGCTGCTGGCGATTCAAGTCTCCTGGAAACCAAAGATGTTTTAATTCCCGAGCAACAGCCAAAACAAATCAAACCAAATCCCCCAAAAGAGCAAGAACTCACTCGCCAAGCCTGTGATCATGGCAGACTTGGTTTCCTCCTGTATCATCACCCTTGCGCCCAACGAGGACATTTGAGCAAAGACGAGCACTGGGAAGAACAAAAAAAGAGAAGCTTTAGAACTGCTGGTTCTTCCAATAAGAGCTGAGCAGAATTACACAAGAACCAAAGAGCCAAAAGGAGGCAAAAGAGAGCTTACGCAGCAGCGAAAGGAGCAAAGATTTGATAGAGCCGGCCATTGTCGAGAGTAGAATTAGACGGGCCCAACACGGCAGCGAGCGAGCGAGAGAGAGAGAGAGAGAGAGAGAGAAAGAGAGCGAGAGACCGTCTCTTTTCTGGTAGCCTGTTTTGAAATTTAAAAACAGAGAGCGAACTGTTTGTGAGCGATATATGGTGGGAGAGATTACTTAAATTGTCCACTAACCTCGGTTGCTAACTCCTCCCCAAACATTATGGCCCCTCGCACGATCCCGGGGATCACATCAGGGCCGTCCGTCCAGCCCGTGCATGGCAAGCCCATGACACGTCATACTCCCCCCCGAGGCATGATTCTCATGAAATTATGAGGATTCTGGCAAAGCACGACAAGTCAACTAACGAGTGAGAGAGCCGCTCTAAAAACGCAAAAAAAACACGACTAATAAAACTTGGATCGCTCTAGTCGTGCCTGGACACTGATAAGTTGCTTACCTCTTCCCTGTCCATGATGACAGTGTGCTGAGAGAGACGATTTTCTCTCTTCGAGCAGCGCAAGTCCAAAATGGAGCGGCAGCAAGCTTTGACGATCTCAGGGGCACTGTTTTGGAGCTGAAAGGCTCAAAATACTGGGATACCGAGGACTATGAGCTATGAAAAACACCATCAACAAAGTTTTAGCTCACCCACCTTGAGCGGACATGAAACAGCTACAGGATTGAAATCCCACCCTCTACTCCAGTCCACGTCGACAGCTTGTAGATCTGATCGGGACCAGCCGCCGGCTTAATCTGCCGTCAGGAAATAAAATCTGTAATAAGAACAGTACAAAATACTTTACTTACGATACTGAAAGAGCCAAGATGGCGTCATCCTTGGCCTGCTTCGCTGGTTTTTCGTCGAAGAAACTCATTTGCTACTGCTGTGAGCAAAGCCGCACCTAACGGCAAAGACTCCTCGTCCACAGTGAAGTGAGGAGTGTGATTTGGATGCACGGAGCCCAGTGTCTCGTTCCGGATTCCCAAGTAGATGTAAGCACCAGGAACTTGTTGGAGATAGAAGGCAAAGTCTTCTCCTTTCATGGAAGCCTCTGCCACGAATACGTTACTTCCCCCCAACATGTCGGACGCAACGTCCCGGACAAGCTGGTAGGCTTCTTCATCGATCACGGTCGCGGGATAGGATGGTTCCATAAAACTGACTTCGGCCGAGCATCTGTAAACTTCGGCTTGTGCAATGATAACCTGGGGAAAATGATTTGAGAGAGCAGCTGGAAAAATCCAGCAAGTACCTGTTCGATCCTTTGCTTAAGCTTCATGAAGTTTTCGTCGGTGAATGCTCGTAAAGTCCCACCGATTACGACGTGATCGGGTATGACGTTAAAACTGCTACCAGAGTGGAACTTTGTCACAGAGACAACCTGTGATAGGCTTTGTAAGTACCTAAACAAATACTAACAAAACAGAGACCGAGAGAAACAAACCTGTGAGTCTAAAGGATGAAATTCTCGAGAGACCAGCTGCTGCAAGCTCATGACTGTCGCGGACGCTGCCAAGATCGGGTCCACAGCGAGGTGGGGATCGGCAGCATGACCAGACTTTCCCGATATCACTGCCTCGAAAGATCCAGCAGCTGCTTTCAAAACGCCTGGCTTCGCAGCAATTGTGGAAGTCGCGTACTCGGTCGAGACATGGATCCCGAAAATGGCCTCGGCATCACCAAGAGCTCCTTCTTCGACCATCGTTTTTCCACCACCACCACCTTCTTCAGCTGGTTGGAATATCAGCAGCACTGTCCCCTGCTCACATAAAGGGACACTCAGCTTCGAAACGAAGAAGATAAATAGAGGAAAATGCAAACGCAATACTTTAGCACGAAGGCAAAAAAGAAATCCAACTGCGAAAGCTTTCCAAGCAAATAAAAGAGAAGAAAAGAAAAACCTGAAGTTGTTCTTGATGTAGTGTAAGAAGCTTTGCAGCACCTAAGAGCATCGCTACGTGCGCGTCGTGTCCACAGGCGTGCATTCTTCCAGGAACTCTGCTTTTGTGCTCCCATTCCACCGCTTCCTACCGGGAACATCACGAAAAAATCCAGCAAACGCTCGACAGAGATTTAAACTGCGATTACCTGGATAGGCAGCGCATCCATGTCCGCGCGAAGAGCTACAAATGGCCGATCGCCACTCCCCACGGAAGCGACGACGCCGCTGCTCGCGACGGGCCAGCGGTAGGCGACGCCCATGGCATTGAGCTCCGACCTCACCAGCGCGCTCGTCTCGACCAGATCAAACCCTAGCTCCGGATTCTCGTGAATCCTCCGGCGAACGCCCTTGATCCAGTCCTGGAACAACTCTACATTCTCAGCAGCGTCGCTTGCGCTCGCCAAAAGCACCACCAAAAACCACAAGAAATATGACATTCCCAAAACCCTAATGTTGTCAACTTCTTTCCAAATGGTTGTAGCATGAGAAGAACTTGATGAAGACGGCGGTTTTTGATGATTCTGAAGTAAGTCCTGTGTTAATACAATGGTATTTTCATTCCTTTTGTACGTTTTTCAGCTCTTTTCGACAGATCGATAGATATTGGCCCCAGGGAAGAAATCCGATGAGATGCCGTTCTAGGCGGCTGCTGGATCATCCATCCTAAGCATCGAAGCTCAGGCCCAGATAGACTCAGCAAACTTAAAAGAGAGCACTGAAAACCAGAAGGGAGAAATTATGGATCTTGGATTTCACACCTCAAGACTTTCATATGCCAGTTGCATAAAACTTTTAACTTATTTGTATATAACATAAATACATATTCAAATGATTCTTGGATACTACATCTACTTATATTTATATTTGTGTTTGAATTATACTAATCCATCAATTTATTCGAGATGCTCTCATCTGGTGCGGCTTACATAATGTATTTTTATGGTCAGTCACAAGCTTTCTTCAGGAATCATATTGATTAATCCGTGTTGGCTTTCGGTGTGCACCTCTTATGAAGGTCTGATAATTTTCCTTTGAAAGGGAATCTATGTTTCATTTTTTACCACTCCGAAGCTGCTGTGATGGCTTTCAGGAAAGCTCAGTTCCTAAAGCCAGATTTACGATCCTATCAAGGTATGAAAAACCACCAAGCTTCATGTATTTGTTATCGAAGAACAAAGAAGCTCTATGTGCTGCCTGCGAAGCCTGAAGGAGACAAAGAGAATGTCAAAGAAGCTGTGGTAAGTTCCATTACAACTTTACTTCACGACAGATTTTTACCTGCTTATAACACTACAGGTATTTTGATGTTAAAAACGCACCGCTCTATTTAGGAATGTCTTTTTGTTTTCTGATCTTTAAATTTCTTTGAGACTGCTCTTGCAGCAACCGATGATAGCGGCAGCGCTTGGGGGATTTGTGTACGAATTGATTGGGCTCGTCGTAGCAATTTGCACCATTTTTTCATATTCTATTCAAACAATTGGCATGACATTCATTGAGTTTAAGGGGCGGCCGTTAGATTGAGGAACATCCTAAAATATACTTTATAATTCTGAAGCAATTAGCATCATTCGAATCTGCTATTATAAAAAGCACTTATAACGTTTCGGAACTACATAGGCTTCCAGGACAGCATCCTCCAAATCCACACCATACTGCAGACAGAGCAAGATATGAGACTGGAGAAAAAGCAAGGAAGACTGACCAGCTTCGCCTGCAGGAGCTCCATTCGCTTACAGACCTCAACATAATTGGGTATTCGCTCCATCATATACCTGGGCCAACAGAGAAAGGAATGAGTTAGAGAGGGTAATTCGATGGTGTTTCCTTACATGCTTTCCGCTGCTGCAACAAGAATCTGGTCTTCCGGCCCAGAACGTAGGGCCGAGTATGACAAGTCAGGGAGGGCCTTGTACACCGGCAGCCGGGTGTTGATCATCCAGCAGTAGCCGTGGTACATGCATGTCTGCACAAGGCGCTAACTAGATATCACTGGAACGAGAAACTGCTTACTATCAAAGCATGGTCGTGGGGACTGATGGACTCTGGTGGCCTTGCAGTCAAGAGCAAGCTGGTAAAAGGGCTAGTGTTGATCGCCTGGATCAACTGGGAGAGGGCATGCACGTCGTCGATGCACGTACCGGTTGGCGGCGGGTACGCATGGCAGTACTCGGGGAGCCCCTTCCACCGGAAGACATAGCCACTTACCTTGTACTCGTGGAGCACATCTCGCAGCAGTCGCAGGAGAACTCGGTCCTTCCTCTTCCTGTAGAGCCGCGTGATGCAGCGCACCGTCTGGCTGCATCGGGAGGGCTGCTCGTAGTGGAAGTAGGCCGAGCCCATGATCCGGTCTAGGATTGGAATGGCTGGGGATGCTTCGAATTCCTCCAGCTGGGAAGATTGTAAGACGCGAAGAGAAAGCGATGAGATGTAGCGGAGATCCTCGTCAGTGACACCGTTTGTGGGATCTAGCCGGAGGTAGAGTTCGCGCTCTTGAAGGCTGTCAAAGAGACGACCACAGTAGAGAAGCTGGACGAGACGGCCCAGCTTGCCCAGTCCGCCCCAGTCGAAGAGAAAGTTGGTCTGGCACCTGGACACTAGATAGGCTTCCTCGCGCTCATGCTCCCACGACTCGGCAAGATCTCTAACCAATTTGCTCTTACCGGCCAGTTCCCTGCGGTGCGCCATAGCCAAGTCCCTCTGCCACAGCACCTTCCTCAGTCTCTCCATTTACCCTAATTCTTGCCACGAGACACGTATTTATTCTCGTTTCAGTTGAGAATATACTTTATATACTGCTTTTTTAACATACCTTTTCTCAAAGGCTCGCCAAGGTTTTGGATTAGTTATTGATGATGGAAGCTTAGATTGAAGAATGCCTCTGTGGAACACCTTTGGCCACAAAGTCATTTTCTTTAGACTTTGATGCCACTGGCTTTGGTTTCTCTTGCTCGTTTTCCTCGTCAACTCCTCGCAATGCAACATCCTATTTGTCCCACTCGTCCCAAAGTCCATGGCGCTCAGTTTTAAACTACAAAACGTGAGAGTCCGAGGAGAAAGCATTGGAGAGCAGCACAAAAGCCTGTCCAAGCTCCTCGTCCATTTCCACAAGCCTCTGTGCGGCAAAAGCCGCTTTTTCCAGATCGATGCTACCTCTGGATGATCCCAGCAGCGCCTTCCAAGCCACAGCATCCGCTTCAAACGGCATTCCCTCCACCACTTCCCGAGCAAAATCCACGCGCCCTGCTCGTCCTAGAAGATCAGCCATGCACAGGAAGTGCTCCAAGCTCGGCCGCGAGGAGTGATCCGAAACCAAGATCTGGAACAAGAGCTTACCCCGCTGGAGAAGCCCAGCATGGTTGCAGGCCACGAGAGCACACACGAAAGTGGTCGAGTCCGGGGTCACACCCTCCAGCTCCATTTCCAGCAGCAACTCCAGGCTCTGGCTTGAGTCTCCCGTGTGAGCCAGCGCCGCGAGGATTGTGTTCCAGAGCACGGACGATGCGCCAAAAGCAACTCGGAATGCGTGAAAAACTTCTCTCGCGGTCCCGACGCTGCCACACTTGGCGTACATGTTCACCAGCGAGCTGCAAAGGAACGCGTCAGCTTGCATCATCTTTCTCTCGATCAGGAGCTCATGAAAGATCTTACCGGATGACAAATCTCCCAGCAAAGAACACGCACCGAGAAGCGTCGACAGAGTTGTGGAGTCGGGATCCATCTTCATATCTTCATACAGCTCCAGCGCTTCTTTCCCTCGACCGCTCTGGACATATCCCCCGAGCATCGTGTTCCATGCCACCAAGTCTCGCCGCTCCATTCGATCAAAAACGCCCCTGGCAGAAGCACAGTCGTCAAAGCTAGCATACATCTTCACCAAAGCAGTCTCCAAAACAAGGCCAGTGTTCTCGAGCTTACTTGCAAGAATTCGCTGGTGGATCGCCTTTCCTTGCTCCAAAGTCGAGCACGCAGCTAGAACAGTGGAGTATGTCACTCTGTTGGGCGGAACGTTCATCGCATGGTAGATCTCCAGTGCCTCGAGGCTATGCCCGTGTTGTGCATATCCACCGATCATGGCAGTATGCACCACGACGCTCTTCTGCGCGATGCCATCAAAAACTCGTCGAGCATCGGCCACTGCCCCGCATTTCCCATAGAAGTTCACAACAGCGACTTGGAGAGCTTGATCTTCCTTGTCGAATCCACAGCAAACAGCTCGCGAATGGATCATCTTTCCGGTTTTCAAGTCCTTGGAGCTCGAGCAAGCACCAAGAACCGTGGTGAGAGTCCTGTGATTCGGCTCTAGCCCCTCCAAGTCAATGGAATGGTATGCCCCGAGAGCTTCCCTGACAAGCCCGTGCTGGGCATACCCAGAGATCATAGCGTTCCACGGAGCCACACTCGCCACCTTTGTCTCCTCCAAGAAAGCTCTGGCGATCTCCACACGACCAAGCCTCGAGTAGAAGCTTACAATCGAGGTTTGCGCCATTGCCTCGAAGAAAATCGCAGGAAACTCCGCCAGAGTTCTCGCGTGGATTGATCGCCCCAGCTCCAGATCGTCGCAGGACCCGAGAACGCTGGAAAACGAGATCTCATTCGGCTCAATGCCGGTAAAGATCATCTCGTTGTAAGCATGAGCGGCTTCTCTCGAATGCCCGTTCCGGGCATATGCGGTGAGCATCGCGTTCCAGGATACCAGGCTCTTCTCCGGAATGGATTGGAACACGGATCTCGCGAGATCGACCCTCCCGTATCTACCATACAACGCCACGAGAGAATTTTGGAGCATGAGATCAAATTCCAGCCCCGAGGAAGAGATATGGCGATGGATTGCGGTACCTTGAGCCGTGTTCGTGCAAGCTCCAAGAACTCGAACAAACGTGTGCCGGTCGGGCCTCTCTCCCTCGAGTGCCATTCGCCGAAAGAGATACAGCGATTCTTCCCCTCGTCCATTGCCCGCGTACGCGCCAATGACGAAATTCCAGCACAGAGCGCTCTTCCGGGGCAGCGATTCAAACAGGGATCGAGCTCGATCGACGCTGCCGCACTTGCCGTAGAGCTGGATGAGCAGCGCTCCGAGATCTGGATCCGTGCCGAATCCGGCCGCCGCAATGCAAGAGTGGAGAGAGATCGCGTCGGGGAGATTGGCGGCGCACTGCCGAATCGTGCGGGCGCAGGCGTGGATCAGTGGCATAAACCCTAACAGATATTCCTGTTTGAATCTACTTGCCGTTTAAATCTGGGTAAAAACGTTTATCTTTGAGTATCTCTCTCTCTCAATTTAGCGATTTGAAAAAATGGGCGGGAAATGAGATTGACTCCACAGTGACTCCCGGAGGTAAAATCCTAAAATCATAAAGCGTTTGCTGCTATATTTTTATAAAGGAGAACGTTCAGGGCATGAGCTTCCTCTGGCGGATCAAGTTCATTCACTGAA